AATTCCACATAGGTCTTGGCTTGTGAGGCAATTGTCTTAAAGGATTATTGGAAGAATCCCAAATTAATTCATAATGGAAACCGATTTTTTTCAGAAATGGGGAAAATTGACTTTCAAATTAAGACTGAATAAGCGCTCTGAGACACTACCCTGTGTGGAGGGCGCGATACAAGTGCAAGTTGTTGTTATTGTTGAATCTAAGAATTTTCCACGGTTCGGCACATTCTTACATTTTTAGACAAAATAGTCTTACAGGCAAAGACTAGGTGGAATTTTCGACCACTAGAGAAAGATCGTTAGAGGAAGAGGGGATTGGGAGAAAATTGATGATTAAAAAGAGAACAGCTCTGTTGCAGAGGGTGACATTACATGGGAGATGTCCCAGCCATGGGAAGGGAGATAACAACAATAATAATCCTTTGTCCTGAACAGTCACCATAAACAAGTCAGACACACTCGGACATGGGCAGACACTGAGGCTGCTCTAGAGAGCCAGCTCTCCAGGCACTTACAAACCACAAAGTGCAGCTAACTCACTGTTCAGGGCACATTGTCTCCACGATTGCATGATGCAAGCGAGGATCAATCTCTGCTCCATGTCAGAGGAAGCCTCCGCTTCCTGCTGCTGGGAAGAGTGATGGCTGCATTTACAATCATCTCAGCCCCACACAGTCCAAAAGGATTACACTCCACATAGTGTGTCCGTGTCACTGGGCGTTACTTCCTGCCGTTGCTGATCAAGCAGATACCACACACACACAGGCAGCAGCATCCTCATTTGCCACCATTGGCGGGCAGGCCTTCTGCCACTCTGCCACCACCCACTGGAACACCATCCCGCAGTCCCTCCGCCTCGCCCGCTCCCTTGCCTTCTTGAAGACCCGCCTCAAGACCCTCCTCTTTGACTGTGCTTTTGATCACCCTCCTTACTCCCCTGCCCTCCACCTTGGCCGATCCTGACCCCCAGCTCGGGTCCGAAACACTGATTGTCCAACGCCTTGGGACGTCCACCCGATGTGAAAGGCACTATACAAATGTAATTTTGTTGTTTTGTTCAAAAAACATTTGGTGAGAAACTATCCTTCTTATGAACTTGTGCTGGTACGAGCCTAACCTGTCTGAGTGTGGTGTGGCAGTGACTGGGACGTTGCCTGTTTCAGTGTGACAGTCAGACTGTCTCTTTACTGCGTCAGCAGCTGATGACACGGTGGCAGTCAATTCACTTTCTCACGTTTATACATCTTACACTTGTTTCCGTCAGATTGATTCACTATAAACTCCCAGCAAGATCAAAGGACCCAATCTTTCCTGCAATTCCTGTGCGTCACGTTCAAACACACAGCAATGTGCCAGTGAGTCGAATGAGGTTCAAACATTCTTCCTGTGAGCTCTTACAGTGTGGCTGAGGCTCCACCTTTTATAAGCACATTGTTGGTAGCGTCTGTGCTGTTACCTCAACAATATACATTCGCCTATAAAATACACACAGTCACTACACTTTACAGTAAAATACTGAGAAGTGCTTTGAGAAGTCACCTCCCCAAAGCACTATATCAAATGCAAGGATTATTATTAAGTTTAAACACGGAAGGAAACGTCTTGAAGTGCTTCAAAGAACAATTTGAGTCAAAGTGAACATTGTTACGGAGGCAGTAGCATCTAATTTGTGTCAGCAATGTCTTTTAAACAATGAGTAGCTGGTTGATGTGAACACTCGGGTGAGTTTCAGTGTGGAATGAATATAAGCCAGGAAATCAGGAGAGAGAGAGAAAAAAAATCTATCTTTGAAATAAAGACAGTGGGTTTCGGTCCCTGCATGACTACCTGAGCCACATGACAGACACAAGACGGGTATAATTCAATGACACAATAAATGAAGCTCCTGCCTTCACGCCGGCACATCGCTATCCCAGCAGTAGCTCAATATCTCAGCTGCTGACAGTACCTCAGCCAGTGACAAATGATAGGAAGCTTGTGTGAAAATGACGCCACTGCTCTTGAACTATCAGCGACAGCTCTGCTTGTGACTGTACTCAGCGTCTGCCACACACTTAGTGACCTGAGAGAGGGAGACGCCAGGCACTTCCTGCTGCTTGGCGTGAGAGGCAGTGCTTGGATTCTCAATGGTGGGTGGAGAAAAGGAGGGGGGGATTGAGGGATCTAGTGTCTCTCATTGTGTACAGTAAGGTGGGTGGGGGGGGGGGGTGTTGAACACATGTAGTGCTGTCAACGTGTACAACAACAACAACAAATTTACAATTGTACAGCACCTTTCATGTCTGGAGGACGTCCCAAGACTCTGGACAATCAGTGTTTCGGATCTGAGCTGGGGCTCGGGATTGGGGAGGGTGGAGTGCAGGGGGGGGGGGGGGGCAGGGAAGGTGGGTGAATGAAGGCACGGTCGAAGAAGAGGGCCTTGAGATGGGTCTTGAAGAAGGTTAGGAAGGGGATGAGGCAGAGAGACTGCGGGATGGAGTTCTGGAGGGTTGGAGCAGAGTGGCTGAATGATTGGACGGGCGAGGTGGGGGATGTGAAGCAGTGCCTACCCGCTGAGCGGAGGTAACAGGAAGGTTGGAAGGGGGGAGCGAAGCCATGGAGGGCTTTGAAGGATCTTGAACTGTATCCTTTGTGTGATGGGAAGCCAGTGGAGTCGAGCGAGGACAGGGGTGACAGGTCACGGAGCCTGGTGCAGGAGAGGACACGGTCTGCAGAGTTCTGGATGATCTGCAGCCTATGGAGGGAGGAGTTGTGGAGGCCGACAAGCAGGGAGTTTGCACAGTCAAGCCTCAATGTTATGAATGCGTGTATGAGGGGCTCGGCGGCCTGCGGTGTGAGACAGTGGTGGAGCCGGGCGATGTTGCGGAGGTGGGGGAAAGCAGAGTAGTTCATGGCACGGATGTAAGGTAGAAAGGATAGTTGAGGGTCAAACAAGATGTTAAGGTTCCAAACTGGCTTAGTAAGGTGGAGTGTGCATCCTTGGATGGTGATGCTGTCAGTTCCTGAGGTGTTCATGTCCTGAGGTGTTAGTAGGTTGCAGAGGTAGGGAGTGCGAGGATTTTAAACTTGATCCTCTGAGATGACTCATGTTTCTCCTGTTCCCCCCACTTCAAAACGTGACTTGTGTCGAGTGCATTGCCAGACCTTGTGTCATTGTTTGGCTGAGCAGAGCCTGACTGAGAGCTCATTTTTTGCATCTTACATAGAGGACATCTTTAGCTACTTTAACTATCAATGACAACTTGCATTTATATAGTGTCCTTCAATACAGGACAACATCTAGGAGCAGCTTACAATGACATAGTCGGATGGGGGAAGGGATACACTGGCTACTGACGTTATTACTTTTGATCTGGCAAGTTTTAGCTCCTCACACCACACCATCTGTTCTTTCTCACTCTCGCAATCACTGCCCAGGCACCCGGGCACTGTTCCCTGACACAGCCTGTCTGCTTGTTTCTCAGCCATCGTTATAACCTCCAAACAGATAAAATGATAAAATGCCAACCACCCTACCAAGGCATTGCCCTCCCACCCTCCACCTCCTCCTCAAACTTCCCTCTCAGCCCCTCGGGACCCTTGCAGTGTCTGCTTGCATTATTGTATATCATTCCAGAGTAAGCCATTCATGCAACATCTGAATTGGGTTGGGGGGGGGGGAAACAATCATGCAGCTGTCCATTTCATCCCACTTCCCATGACCAAACACATCCAACAGGATTTTCAGCCATTCTCTGTGGACACAGCAGAAACTTGCACAAGATCTTGGAAAGACCACAGTCGGAGCACTGCATACAGTTGGGGCACCCATTTAGAGGATACAACATCAACAAAATTGCATTTATATAGCACCTTTCACAGAAAGATGCATAAAAGCAGATGAGGTGCAATGTAAATGTAAATTCACTTGGATGTTACCAGGGATGAGGGATGTCAGTTATGAAGAGAGAGTTGAGAGGTTAGTTTTTTTTCATGAGAACTGAGCTTAATGGCCCTGTTTTCGTGCTGGAAGATGTTATCACTGAATGAATAAACTTCAATCCCAAAAGCGAGCAACAAACCTCAGCACCCAAAGCTTTGAGGGTGTTTGCTCTGCATCCAACATGGCAGCACCAAATAACTCACAAATTATTTTCAGACCTATTTTTTAAAAGAAACACCAAAATATGTTCTTTCCAAGTTGCTTGGGACTTTAAAAAGTGGAGAGATGCAAAGAACCAAAGTCTGTAAATGGCTGGGCCATGAGAGATCAGGCCAAGGCACAATCTGAGACCCAACAGAACAGTTTCCTCAGACTGAGTCTGCTGCCGGGTATGCGGTGGTGGGGGGGGCAAGAGAAAAAGCAATAGATAGGAGCGGGTCAATTGATACCGAGTGTGAATTTCAGTGTCCGAAAACACATCATTTCATGTTGGTAGGTCTCAGATTGAAAATTGAGGACATACAGCTTCATAAAAATTCAGCACGATACAAATTGTACGGTCTAGGTTGGACTGAAAAGTGACAGGATCGCAGTGTCTGACAACAGCTTCAGCACTGTTATAATTTGCAAGTGGAATCTATTTGTTACTATGGATACGAAAAAGAGTTAACGAACATGCGTCATTCACCACAGTTCCACAGAGCTGCTAAATTCCACAGATGAGTTGGGTTGCCAAGAAGGAGTTTGAAAATTAACTAAAGGAGTGAGTAACGTGTCAGAGACCGCATTATATATCAGCTAACGTTTACGATTCAATTACGGCTGGCAATAATGCTGTGTTGTCTCTTTAAGCACAATGTTTCTCTCAATAAAACAGGAACTGGAGGACAAGAAAGCTCTTTATATGCTCCAAGGCTGGGATTTTCTTTAAAGAAATGGACTGGCTAGCATGAATTGCACAGGGCTAATTTATGTTCAGCAATATCAATTAAACTGTGAAGAAAAATGACAGATTGTGTTTCCAACAGAAGGGAAAATATGGGCAAGTGTTCCATTACCAGAGAGAGACAGACAACACCAATATGCCAGAGTGTTGATCGCGTCATTGCTCACAACACGTGTATTGATTTTGAGTTCTAACTCTACAAACTGCAAATGCAGGCACTGAGTCAGTGAGACCATGCAATAATTATGGGCACACAATATTTAACAGCGAGTAACAAGCAGACAGTATCCGTTTAAAGTCTAATCCAAAATAATAACGTACTAAGCTGACACTCCAATGCAGTGCTGGGGGTTTATTGCATGGTCGGAGGTGCCGTGCTTCACATGAGACGTTAAATTGAGGCTCCGTCTGCCTGTTCAGGTGGGCGTCATGGTGCTTCAAACTGAGTCGAGCTGACCATTCTTCAAGAGAGAGCTGTTAATTTGACTTGTCACCTTAAGCACATGTCGTACGGGTCCTGGATATATTGCTGGGTCCAGTGTGGCTCTGAAGTCTCTCCAGATGGCTGTCGGATCTGCTGTCCTAAGGCACCCAAAGATTTAAAGGAACAAATTGCATTTTCTTTTCGAATCTCAATTGATATCAAATGAAAACAGAGGCAGAGCTGTGTACAAACAGCACAGAACAAGTGATTCTTTATACAAGTCTATGAAAGGCTAGAATCCTGTGCAGTCTATTGAGTGAAATGCAAATTTTGTTCCTGGAGTCCAACTTTTTGAATCGCATCTCATTCTACTTCCTGTCCACTGAATCAGTTAGTTTCCCAGCCACTCAATCGGGAATGTTATCCACCACGAGAGTAGGGAATTGTTGCCCTCCTTCGCAGAGCTGGCAATACATAGCTCGATAGAGGAGATACAAGGATGAGGTGTCTTCCTGCAGCTCCAAAGAGAACAAGATTGGAAGCAATTCCTCAGCCATAACCTTAATTGGGGAGAAAAGAAGAGTTAGAAGCACGTCTCCCTGCATGACATTTTCATCCTGGACACAGTCTCACTCTTCTGGTACTTCAGCCAAATGGCTGTTCACACAGCATCATTTGGGCAACCAATGTTGCCAGGTTACCTGCCCAAGGCATTATGTCAGCCATACTAGGTCCTTTGCCACACAAGACTCAATACAATTTACTCTTATGTAGCACCTTTCACCTCAGAGGATTTCTCAAACAGCTTTACATTACCCGAGCTAGGGGGGTGGGAGCTGAAGTGGGTTGGGAGGGAATGACTGAAAAGGTGGTCAAAGTAGTCTTGATGTGTGCTTTGAAAGTGGGTTTGGATGGGACAGGTTGGAGAGACTGGGAATGAGTTCCAGAGAACGGGATAGAATGGCTTATATTTACCCTCCCTGCAGGGCATACATGTGGGTATATTATGGGGCATATGCAAACCATGTGTAAATGTGAGCTTGAATGTGTGTGCCATGTGTAAACCATTTTTCAATGTGTGTGCGTCATGTGTGAACCAAGTATCAATCGGTGTGTTATTTGTGACATGTGTATTATGTACTATGTGTAAAGCATGTTCAAATGTTTGTGAAGAGTGTGTAAAAACGGAAACAAGTTCCTGTGTATAGATGTTCTCAATTAACAACTAATCCATTGCCCTTGTATTATTGACTTGTAATGGAAACATCAGGCTCTGTTAAGTTGAAAGACTCAATTCCAAAACCAGTTGCTGGGCAACAAGAATGGGCCAGATCTGATGTGAATTGGAAAGTGCTTTATTACCCTTTGGATCTGGATCTGTCTTTGGAGAGTTTTCACTTGGTGCTTGAGAGTCTCCATTTCTTTCAGCTCCTGCAGGCTGGAGTAGATGAGAAGAGGTGTCTCAGAAGTCCTACTGCGTGGGCAGCGCCTTAACCTGGGCCCCGAATGGCTCCACATCATTCTCCATTTTGCCTCAGCTCAAGACCGAAAGATAATATGAGTCAGCACAGATCCAGGAGAACTCTCACAAAGAAAGAGACACATTCAAAGCATTGACATGTAATAAATCCATCTTATACTCAGAACCTGCATCAGCAATCTTGTACTCCAGCAGTACCTCAGGACCCCAATGCACATCTGGGGTCCCCAAGTCTTGGCTCTTGCCAACCTGCGCCTAATACTTTCCTGAATTAGGTAAGCACAATGTGTCCATCCAGGGAGACAGAGTGCATTCCATTCTGACAATCTATCTCTGGGATTTCCATGTTTAGGTGGGATGCATGGAATTCTCAACTTGCTTTGGACACTCTTAAACGTGGTGACGGGTTTCTGCATGTGTCAGATACCCAGCTGATCAAACAAAAATCTTGTGTTAACACGTCTGGAACGTGACCCAGGCGTAGTGCACCGCTGAGCCATGTAGCCAAAGAGGGGCCGCTGGTTCAGTTTACTGGTACCACAGTGAGTTAACTCATCTCAACTGGGGAGCTAGAATTGATAACCAGCCACAACTCCCATCCCTGATCACTCCTACTTGCCTCTTGGAAAGGTTGTGTGTAAAGAGAGGACAGTATCACACTTTGCGATCAAACAAAAAATACAGACTCTCCCTATACCCTTGTGCTTGCTACATCTAAATGGCTTAATAATAATAATAATAATCCTTGCATTTGATATAGCGCTTTTCACGTCGGGAGGACGTCCCAAAGCGCTTCACAGAACACACTGTAAAGTGAACTGACTGTATATTTGTGGGCGAATGCAGCAGCCAATCGCGCACAGCAATGTCCCACAAACAGTCGTAGATTGAAAATGACCAATTTATTATTGTTTTTGGTTTTATGAGGGATTATTATTAGGCTCTGTGTGGAGTAAGGAAACTTGCCCAAGGTTTCGCCCTCTGCCTGGAATCAACCCGGGTGTCTCGCTTGCAATGCGAGTGCTCTAACCACTGAGCTACAGGACTCTGTACAAGGCACATTGTAACATAAACTAACAATAAGAAAAGTCACTAAAATTCACATAGCTGCACAATACAATGTTCACTTCATTACTTAAATTATTTTAAATTACATTACTTAAATCATTACTTGATGACTTAAACGTCATCAAGGTTAAAAAAAAATGGACTCACCATCCCGCAACTGCTGAATCTGGTGAAGGAGGCTCGATACAGTTTCCTGACAACTGGTCAGGGTTTGGAGATGCTTATATTCCTGCTGCCAAGTTGTTAGACCTTTGGCAAATAGTGAGAGGTTATCAGTGCAGTCAGAATGCTCAGTGACAAGCAGCCAGTTGATATGTACCATCACTTTCATTGCAGGCTCCAGAAGACACCCCCAGTGCTGCTGCTTTCACAAACAGCAACACTCAATGTCCACATAAACATACCTACAACTCTTTTTACAAAGAGAGCAAAGGCAGAAACATCTGCTAAGATTTCCTGTTCGGAACTCAGGGCAAATGTAGCACAGGTATTGCTGCCCCAAGTAAGAACATTCAACTCAGTGCAGACCTCACGGATACCATCCTGGGCTTTGTTTCTCAGTGCAACAATGGGCAGTGTTGAGCAGCCGAATCCCTGGGACAGAAACTATGTTTCACCCGCAAATATACAGTCAATTAACTTTACAGTATATTCTGTGAAGCGCTTTGAGACGTCTAGAAGACGTGAAAAGTGCTATATCAAATGCAAGGATAATAATAATAATAATATGGAACATGAGAGAGAACCTTCCTCTTCATTCACCCGGTGTTTCCTTGCATGGGAAAGTTTATTCCTTCGAACAAAGTTAGGAACTTTGCTGTTAGAAACTTTGTTCCTCTAAATTGCAGATTCAATGTAATTTTGTGAGTTGTGCAATGTGTGATCACTCGCTGAACGATCAATTGCAAATCCTGAGATCCCAAAGTCCTCACGGTCATAGTCTTGCGTCTATCACCTGACAATTTAAGTTGGAATTTTGGAACAGCCTTCAATTCAGTTTTAATTTGAAGTCCGGATACCACAGTTCTTTAAAAAAAAGCCTTCCAAATTAGGAGCGAGTGTAAGGCAAGATTCCACACCATCTTAAATGTCAAAACAACAGCCTTCAGGGTAAGAACATGAGATATTTACGGAGCTTGAAGATGGCCAACATGTGAACAGAGACCGGAGAGCAAAGCAGCCAACAATGAGGAGTTATGTACCTGAGGTGAGCAGCAGGAGGTCCGCACGCACACACTCATCCACTCTCACACCAACGTCACAGATGTCTTCCAATCTGTCTTTGATCTCGGCACGACTCACAGTGGGAAGCTCGGATTGGAACTTAAGTCTGACATTAAGGAACAACAATAAATTTCATTTACTTAGCACCTTTCAACCTTGAGAATTAAGGAACGTTTTTATTGGGGGAGAGATTGGAGAAGTCGAACACTAGATTGATTCAGTAAAACCACATAAAACCCCAGCGCATCCCACACAAACCATGTATACGCTTTGAACACAGCTGGTTCTTTACATGAACACAAGTGGTGGGGGAAAGAAGGTTGCCTGCTCAGTGCCCTTTCACCTATTGTATCCGCACTCACAGCTGCAGCTCGTGCGGTTGGTCCGAGGCAGTCAGCCACCAAGACACATCCACAAGTGCAGAGCGTAGCTCACTTCGTGGTTTTTCCATGAGCTCCAATGGTTTAAATTGAGCAAACTGGCTCCCTCATTCGCTTACAAAATACACAGTCCCTACACATTCCAGTAAAATCCTGTGAAGCGCTTTAAGACCTCCTCCCGACATGAAAGGTACCATATCAAATGCAAGGATTGTTATTATTAATAATAATCATAAACAAAGTAACTGCTGATGACGTCATTGGAATGTTGGCTTGAAAATGTTAGACAAGAAGTTATGCAACTGAGCGGAATTGACAGGTATTCCCAGACACCATGTCGTTAAAGTTACTCCAGCTCCCTGCTCTGTCCGGCTGAGCAACTCAATTTCCAGCCAGCTCCCGTGTTACTGAATTTATTGCTGCTGATGTTAAAACAGCTCTCTTGCTCAGTAATGCCTCCCAGGATTACTCTTAAGTTACTGACTACTTCTGCACACAAATATACCGTCAATTCACTTTACAGTATATTGTTTGAAGCTCTTTGAATCACTCGAAGACGTGAAAAGCGCGATATCAAATGCAAGGATTATTATTATTAATATTAATCCAGCACAATCTCTCATCCCAGTCTGAGATCTGCCTTACTGACTATCTCTCTGCTGACGCTAATCTAAATGTTCAAGAAGTACCAATAAACAGAAAAGTTATTAATGTTACTTTGTGCCGAGAGGTCCCAGCTCTGCCTCGTTTATCAAGAACAAATAAGGATACCGTTGACTGAAGCCTCTGTATGAAGCATGTTGTCTCTGAGCTGTCTCCGGTCTGAATGGCCGATACTTTCTTCCACAGGCTGGAGAACAAGAGAGAAATAAAGTCCAAGCCGGCAGCTGAGCAGTCCATCAAGAACAGCCACCTGCCTGTGGAGGGTGCTATGTTAGGATAGCACCACTGAGCTGAAAATGCTTTCATTTTTATGATCCCTACTTGAGCCACTGGGTGGCAGTGATGGACAGAGGCCAGGAGATTGTCCACATGGAGGGATGGCCAAGAGAATCACTCTTTGGGTGGGAGTGGAGAAGACTGTAGGATACTTGGGCAATCTGTGCTATGTGCCACATATGAACCACTCCGTCAGCCAGAATCGGTTAGGCACACATACACAGACCCCACACCAGGGAGCGAAGAACTCAATGCAGCTAATTCTGTAACAGTTTGGTGTTTGCATCACTTCCAGACTCCTGTTACCCTGAATCTTCCAATACCCAAAACAGAAAGGTCAAAATGTGAAGAGGAGCTCCTCACCCACCAGAAACAATAGTCACATCAGAGCACATTGGGCACTGAAGGTGCAGTAGATAAGCATCCTGCCCTTGGCCAGTGAGAGGCCAATCACCTCTCAATTGCTTGCAAGGCTCCTATGTGAAAGACAGCAACAACCCAGACCCTGTGAGTGCTGGCCGACTGCACAGAACTCCTCTGAATTTGGGACCAAATTGGCACGTGGAAACTGATGAAAACAAAATTTAGAACATGTGTCAGGAAGCAGTTAGTTACCCAAAGAGTAATGTGTTTTGGGAATAATCTAGCCAAGGACAAAAATGCAGAGGCAAGTCCAATGTTATTCAAAAACACAGCTAGGAACCAGTTTAGCCAGTGATTCAATGGGAATATTCCCGTTTAGGAGTTGCATCATTAAGAGGCGAGTCATGCCAGATCCTGCGAGGTCCTTAGTTTTAAGTGCGTATCACACCCGCTGGACAATACGCAGAGTCGGCAATGACAATGGCAATAACCACCCCTTTAAAGTTCTTACTTGGTTGTGTCTCTTTACTGCACCAACAACTTGCATTTATAGTGTCTTTCACTATTAGAAAGTGCTTAACAAATCAAGTGATGAACCCCAAGCCATGGAATCAGACTGAGGACTGAGGCAGGAGTAGTGACGGCTGGGATTCTGGAAAGATGAGATCGGGTTGGTTCCAGGGACTCCTTTATCTAAGCCGATCTTGTGATTTAAAGACGATGACAGTCAAAGAGCTGGTTTCAGTGGATTTTGAAGGCAGAGAGCTAACAAGGTAAATCGGTTCTGGAAATCTGGGGTGTAATGCTGAAGACTTGGCCACCAATGGCGGAGTGAAGGGTTTGGGGAGAAAGCAACTGCCCAGAGTTTGAAGAGCGGAGGGAATAGGCTGTACTGTTGGGTTGGACAGTGGTTTGTGGAATGTGCTCAGCGCGTTCTTACCGTGTGTTTCTCACCCTCTGCTTTCTCCACTCCATGGGAAGCTTTAACTTTGACCTGAGAAAGTTAAAAGATCTTTCATGACTAGCTCCAGGTCCAGCCTTCGATGCTGCCAAAAATAATCAGAAACATAGAATTCTACAGCACAGAAGGAGGCCATTTGGCCCAACAAGCCTTCACTGGCTCTCAGAGCAAAAATATTGTTTCAATCACTTATACCCACCCACACGAGTTTCCCAGGAACATGAACCCAGTAGCCAGACTGCGATTTATTCACCAATTTGTTATTTGTGAAGGGGAGGGATTGAGACAGGCCGAGCCACAATATAGGCAGAGACTGAGGTAGACAGAAAGGCAAAGAGACAGAATGTTAAAGAGAATTGACAGGTCAGCAGGTAAACGTTCCTCAGGTCACTGAGAGGGTTTGATGTAAAGCTGTATCTGCCCAGTCTCATACATACAGGCAAACTGCACTATATGATGGAGATCACCAAGGTTGAAATATACTGACTATCACCTCGGGATACATTGGTATATTGATAGCAGCAACCAAATGTTCCAGAAGAATTGGGGGTTAAAAGTAGCTTTGCTGGACGGGTTGAGGTTAGCTTGATTACATTTCATATTTTCCTGGGAAGATGTTCACTCCTCTGAGATAATGAGCGATCGGGTCCTTGAGCACAGATGTAAGAACAATGGACCACAAAAAGGCTGCAGCCTCAGACATCTGCCTATCTCAAGGCCGAGAAGCAAGCAGAAGATGGCTGCCCAGAAGTTGTCCATATCTCTCTCTCTCTCCAAAGCAGCCTGCAAAGGGTGGGGGCTATCTCTGTGACCAGGGGAGGTAGAGTTAGAAACACATAAAAGATGTAACTTTGGAATAATTGGAGTTGTGTGGAGGGTCAGCGCACTTCTCAGTGGAATCGATATCGATATCGATTCCACTGTATCTATGTATATGTACAGGGGTGAGGGAATTTACCTCCAGTAAGAAAGTGACCATTAAAAGTGAAAGAGGAGAAGTGGGTAATATGTTTCAGGTCTGTTTGTTAGCCAGAGAAATAACAGTAGTAGTGGTTGGTAAATTTGAAACGCAGAAGTCAAGTTAGACAGTACGAGTGAGGTGCTGGACTAGTAGCCGATTGTTTCTGTCAAGTTTGCAGGAGCTACTCACAGCGATTTGTGTTATCATTGTTGGTTAAATATTGTTGTGCATGACTGGTTAAGTCTGAGGGTTTAACGGGCACCAGTCTCTATCAAGAGTTGGTATTACAAGAGTCAGTTGTCCCTGAGGGATTTTTTCAGGGGCTGATCTCTTCAGTGTATGTTGAAGTGTGGTCTCAGGTTTATTGTTCGGTCTGGAATACGGAACAGAGTCTGAGTTTCTTTGTATTACAGAATCAATTGTCCTTGAGGGGTTTCCAGGGGCAGATCTCTGCTGTGTATTCTGAGATGCGTTCTCGGGCTTATTGTTTTGTCTGGAGTACTGAGCAATTCCTGAGTACATGCTGTTGTTTCTCAATTATTTGTTTTGTATATCTGTGTCGTATCATTATTGTGTTGTTGTATGTCATAAAGTTAATTATAGATAGTGAGCTGTACTGTTTGTTTTATGAAATAAACACTATTCTCTTACCACCTCCTTTCAAATTATTAACGTACAGTGGTGACCTCATAACCTGCACGTTGGCTATTTTTTGGTGCAGAAAGCAGCTAGTCAAGTTCTGGACAACAGCCAGTTTCCTGTCAGTAGGGTCCACAAGACATCATTTCTAAATGCAAAGCTGCGCTATAATGGAAGCTTTGGAACAAGGCTGCCCTACAATCGTGCTCCGCCGGTCACCTCTTACCCAGCTCCCTGCAATGAGAACACCTCCGGCTGCTTCTTCGCCCGGCCGGTACCCAGTGAGGTGCCCCCGTGGGCAGTGACCTCACGCCCAATGCGCGGCTGGTCAACGGCGGCGGACGCTGAGCTGTGAAGCATCTTATCCTCCGCGGGCGCCCGGATTCCGGACCATCCGAGAGGCACAGACCTACCCGGAGCCCTCTTCCCAGAGCTGGGACGGTGCTGCCCCCCAGACTTGCCCACGCAGACGGAGTCCTCTTTGAACTCTGTGCTCCTGGATGGGGCTGTGCTCCTGCAGCTTGCTTTCACCGACCGCCCAGACGCTCCTGTTGCCCAGCTCTTCTTGATGTCAGGCTGAGTTTTATATGGAGCCCTCACAGTGGCAGGCATGGTCTTTCTGGATGCCATTTGGCCAGCTTTCAATGGCGGTCTACCGCTTGCTGGATGATTCTCTCTTGATCCCAATGCTGGAAGTTCACCAGTAGCAGAGCCAGTTGCTGCACTGCCTGCCCCCACTCGTGCATCACAGGATAAAGCCTTTGTTTTGGAGTTGGATGGCGGGGATGTCTCCTGCTTGACGCTGGCACTCGGGTCCTTGGTCAGGGCGGGGCTATCCTGGGTGGCAAGCGTCCGGAGTGGCTGTTCCTCGGCTGCTGTGCAGTGGGCCTTTCTGATCCTCAGGGCTTTGGTCAGGGCTTTGTTCAGCAACTCCAGCTCCTGCAGTTCTCCAGCAGTTGGGCCAGGCTCAGCAATGTCTGAACCTAAATAAAAAGATGTAACTTATTCCAATTTTACGATAATATAATAACAATTCTATATGAGATATCACACCTTTCACGCAGGGAGGAGGTCTCAAAGCTCTTCATAGGATTTACTGTCACGTGAAGTGACTGTTTATTTTGTAGAGGAGCCCAGCAGCCAGCATGTGGAAAGCAATGTGCCACAAACGGCCATAAAGGGAATGACCGATTTCATCTGAGCAATTAATTTGGCATCCAACTTGAACTGGCAGACGGGACAATGACTTTTTCCTAACTTTTCTTTAAGATCCAATAACAACAACAAATTACATTTGTATAGCGCCTTTCTCATCGGGAGGATGTCCCAAGTGCTGGACAGTCAAAGATTTTTACCCGAGTTGGGGGTTGGGATCCTGAAGGGTGGAGAGAAGGGAGGATAGGGTTAGGAGGATAACTGAAGGTGCGGTCTTAGAGGAGAGTAACACAATAACACAAAGATCTCTGGCACACCTGTGTGGTCGGTTGTGGTTTTGTCCTCTGCTGGCCTCTCCAGAGCACTGAGCTTCCTGTGGAAAAACATGAACCAGACCTTAATAATCCACTCAAAACATTGCGACATATCCCGATTTCAACAACAACTTGCATTTGTATAACGCCCTTCACGCCGGGTAGCATCTCGGAGCGCTTTTTTCTTTTGAAAACGGAAGGTCTTACCAGGGATTCAAAAGCTGCCGGTAACATTTCAGCTTTTCTTCCACTTTCTGTTCTTCCTTCGTGCATTCTTCAATGGCTTCCTGAAGTAATGAGATCAGCCTATAAAATGGCCAACCATCAGTCTCAGTCGCAACTATCAGCAACAAAAGGGTTATTCCATCTCAAGGCATATTAAGAGCGAACCTTCGGGAGGAGGGGGGGGTGAGTCTACACCAACCAGCAAGTCCATAACCATAACGTTGGTGTAGTGGCTTACGGGCGGTTGGGTGATTTACAGTACGGAAACACCCCTTTGAGCCCAAACCTGCATTGAGACACAGTGCCTGTCCTGCCCCCCAACACAACATATCGTTAAGAGTGAACTACAGTAAAACTCGCATAAGTCTGATCTGTGTAACTCGGATAATCACCCCAGTTGTACGTCTGCCAAAGTCCTATCGAAAATTCCCCATTGTTTACAAGTTTCACGTAACTCAAGACTTGGCTTAAGTTCACACGAAATGTGCGGTTCCCCCCCCCCAGGATACCGCTCACGTGAGGTTCACCGCACCAGCAATGCCGACAGGTCAACTCACTGCAATGCAATGAGCCATTGCTATCATCAGTGTGAGCGGCCGGAGCTGCCGCGGACCCTCGGACACAGGGAAGTGTGGGAAACGCAGAGGGAGAAAGGCTGGAGCAGAAGCTGTTACCTGAGAGCCTGAGCAGCAGGCAACATGTCCTTCCCTCACACTCACTCACACCCTCACTCCCTCCCTCACACCCTCACTCACTCACTCCCTCCCTCACTCACTCACTCCCTCACTCACTCACTCACACACTCACTCACACTCCCTCACACCCTCACTCCCTCCCTCCCTCACTCACTCCCTCCCTCCCTCACTCACTCCCTCACTCACACACTCCCTCACACCTCCTCACTCACTCACTCCCTCCCTCACTCACACCCTCCCTCCCTCCCTCACTCACACCCTCACTCACACCCTCACTCACTCACACCCTCTCTCACTCACTCACTCCCTCCCTCACACCCTCACTCCCTCCCTCACACCCTCACTCCCTCCCTCACACCCTCACTCACTCACTCACACCCTCACTCACTCACACCCTCCCTCACTCACACCCTCACTCACTCACACCCTCACTCACTCACACCTTCCCTCTCTCTTACACACTCCCTCACACCCTCCCTCACTCACTCACAAACACCCTCACTCACTCCCTCACTCACTCACACCCTCCCTCTCAGTCACTCACACACACCCTCCCTCCCTCACACTCACACCCTCCCTCACTCACACCCTCCCTCCCTCACTCACTCACACCCTCACTCACTCACACCCTCACTCACTCACACACTCCCTCACACCCTCCCTCACTCACACCCTCCCTCACTCACACCCTCCCTCTCACTCACAAACACCCTCACTCACTCCCTCACTCACTCACACCCTCCCTCTCAGTCACTCACACACACCCTCCCTCCCTCACACACACACCCTCCCTCACACACTCCCTCCCTCCCTCCCTCCCTCACTCACTCACACCCTCACTCACTCACTCACACCCTCACTCACTCACACCCTCCCTCTCAGTCACTCACACACACCCTCCCTCCCTCACACACACACCCTCACACTCCCTCCCTCCCTCACACTCCCTCTCTCCCTCCCTCACACACTCCCTCCCTCCCTCCCTCACACACACTCCCTCCCTCACACTCCCTCCCTCCCTCACTCTCCCTCTCTCTCCCTCACACCCTCCCTCCCTCCCTCACACACTCCCTCCCTCACTCACACACTCCCTCCCTCCCTCCCTCACTGACAGTTGAACAGAGCTGCAGCAGGAAGTCGGTGCCCTCCGGAGGCCCTCCCCTCCCCTCCCGGGGTCCAGGGCCGCGCCGGTCGGGGCCGCATCTCCTTCTCCTGTCGTTTTTCTTTCTCCCCCTTTTTCTTTTTTTTGAAACCCCCCACCACCCAAAAACAACAACAACAACAACAGCAACAAAAAACACCGAGTGGTTATTATCGGTGAGGGAGTGAGTGAGGGAGGGAGTGAGGGTCGGTGAGTGGCGTTGTGCGCCGCCCCACCGCCAGGCGGCGCTGTCGCTCCCATCACCTCTAATGATAAGGTGAATTGGTTAAAAAATAATCCTCATAATAATTAATAATAATAATAATAATAATAATAATAATAATCCTCGCGTTTGGATGGAGCGCTTTTCGCGTCGGGAGAAGACGTCCCAAAGCGCTTCGCGGAACACACCGTAAAGTGAAGTGACTGTATGTTTGTGGGCGAACGCGGCCGCCGATGGCGCGCAGTCGTGGATTGAAAATGACCAATTTTATTATTGTTTTGGGGGGTTTTGGAGGGATTATTATTAGGGCTCTGTGTGGAGTGAGGAAACTTGCCCGAGGTTTGGCCCCCCCCCCCCGCCGGGAATCGAACCCGGGTCTCTCGCTCGCAAAGCGAGTGCTGTAACAGGACTCCGCAATGATAACAACAACAACAACAACAAATAGAGCGCCTTTCACGTCGGGAGGACGTCCCAAGGCGCTGGACAGTTGGGTCAGGACCCGAGCATTGGGGGGGAACGGTCAGGGTGAGGGGAGGGAAGGGAGGGAGCGAAGAGGGGGTAGAGAGTCGAGAGGGGAGCTGAAGGTACGGTCAAAGAGAAAGGTTTTGAGACCGGCCTTGAAGGAGGAAAGGGAGGAAGCGAAGGCGAAGGCACTGGGGGATGGAGTTCCAGAGCCTCGGGGCTGAGAGGCTGAAGGTCCGGCCACCGATGGTAGGGCGGTTGGGGCGGGAGACGTGGAGCAGACCGGAGCCAGAGGAACGGAGGGTACGGGCGGGTAGGTAGGGGGATAGTAGGTCAGAGAGGTAGGAGGGAGCGAGGCCGTGAATGGCCTTATAGGTGAGGATGAGGATCTTGAATTCGATCCTCTAGGGGATGGGGAGCCAGTGGAGGCGAGCGAGGGCGAGGGTGGGAGTGATGTGGTCGCGGTGTCTGGTGCGGGACAGTACACGAGCTGCAGAGTTCTGAATGACCTGCAGCTTGTGGAGGGAGGTGCCGGGAAAGCTGGTGAAGAGATAATAATCCCAACTGGAAGGCAATTCAGCACATTCCCAGCACCGCACTGGAATGTGAGCTCAAAGTCCCAACGCGGGGGCTTGAACCCGCAGACTCGGAGACCCGGGCGCTTTTAAACGGAATCCGTGCTGACTGGCGATGTTTTAAGTGGCGGACGTACGTGGGACCTTCAGTCCGACTTGGTTACTCTTTGGAATGATATTGGGTTCCCACACGACACACTGGGTGACTGACCAAAAAGAAGTGTTAGTAACCTTGTCAGATCGCTGTGAAAGAGGGAGTCTCGCAAAGAGGGCACGAAAAGGGCATCTTTTCAATTTGTTGGAATTATGGATATTTCTGCACAGTAATGTTGGTTTCAGCTCTCCGCCGGAACTAATTCTTGTCTGCTTCTAAAAATGTCTCGAAGCCAGGTACCGTATGCTCACCCACTAGAATCTATTCTAAAACCATAGGGTGTAATTTGCAATATTAGCAAACTTGTTTTGTTACATTAAAATGTGCAAATCTGCAAAAACAATGATTACACTTGGCAGCAATCACTGTAAAGCGCTTTGAGTCATTTCAACATTAGATAATTATTTGGGGAGGGCAAGTTTGCAGGGCTATGGGGAGAGAGCGGGGGAGTGGGATTGATTTGGATAGCTCTTTTCAAAGAGCCGGCACAGACGCAACGGGCCGAATGGCCTCCTTCTGTGCTGTATAATTCTATGGTTCTATGATAAGGTGCCACAAAAATGCAAGTTCTTTCTAACTTTTAGCTTCTGGGGCTGTGACTTCTGGTTGGTAAAATTAGCAACTGGGAATTGTAGAACACATTTCATTTCACTTGAAACAGTTCCACACAGTAAATTACATGTATCGGTTGTTTTGACCGTTTGGTTTCTTCTGCAGGTCTGTGGGAAGGTTGAGCTGATGCTTTCTTGATATTTTGGTTGAACTGTTTACTTTCTATTTAATGAATGATACAAATATCCTGATAATGAGCACACTTTGTTTTACCATTAGTGACCATCCACTTTGTTCGGGATCTTTGCAGATAAAATGTCGGGTGGAGCAGACTTGAGTGGAGATCTCTCCCCTGGCTTTAGTCAAGTGAATGTGGCTCCTAAATTAGATCCATACTCTGCTCTGCCAGTTCCCATATTTTATTAGGTTTTTGTTGGAAGACCTTGGATTAATCTTTTTCTTGGAATAATTTATGGGATGTGGTAAGTCAGCCAAAATTAATGATTGAAAAATAATATGTCTCCGAGTTTCATGTGTGAGTCCAGGCAGTGAGTATCTGCAGGGTCTTATATAAGAACATAAGAACATAAGAAATAGGAGCAAGAGTAGGCCATTTGGCCCCTCGAGCCTGCCCCACCATTTAACCATTTAAGATCATGGCTGATATTCTAACCTATTTCCATTTACCTGCCCTATCCCCATGTCCCTTAATCCCTTTAGGTTTTAAAAATTTATTGATCTCAGTCTTGAATATGTTCAATGACTGAGCATCCACAGCCTTCTGGGGTAAAGAATTCCATAAATTCACTACCCTCTGAGTGAAGAAATGTTTTCTCAACTTAGTTCTAAAAGGCTGACCTTTAATCCTGAGACTATGACCCCTAGTTTTAGATTCTTCAATCAGGGGAAATATCTATAATAACAGTCTCATAATATCTACCCTGTCAAGACCCTTAAGAATCTTATAGGTTTCTATAAGATCACCTCTAATTCTTCTATATTCTAGAGAATATAGGCCTAGTCTACTCAACTTCTCCTCGTAGGTCAAACCCTTAACCCAGGAACCAAACCAGTGAACCTACGTTGCACCCCCTCTAAGGTGAGTATGTCCTTAGATAAGAAGACCAAAACTGCACACAATATTCTAGGCGCGGTCTCTTGTACTCTAACCCCATTGCAATAAAGGCTAACATGCTATTAGCCTTTTTAATTGCTTGCTGTACCTGCATACTAACTTTCTGTGATTGGTGTACAAGGACACCTAAATCCCTCTGAATACTAACCCCCTCTAGTCTCTCCCCCTCTAGAAAATAATCTGCTTTTCTATTTTTTCTACCTAGGTGAATGACTTCATACTTCCCCACATTATACTCCATCTGCCATCTTCTTGCCCACTCACTTAACCTTTCTATATCCCTTTGCATCCTCCTTGTGTCCTCCTCACAGCTTACTTTCCCACCCAGCTTTGTATTGTCCGTGAATTTAGATACATTAAAAGCTCTATTTCCTCATCTAAGTCGTTGATTTAGACTGTAAGCAATTCTTCAACTAAGAACTCACCTGACATCTAAACACACGCACGTCACTGGCTCGATAATGAATGGGAATGAGAAGCATGATTAATCTAGTAATTCTAACCTCAAGTGTTGCCTAATTTGAAATCAATTCACTCAGCATCGACTTGCGGTCAAACCTGGGATGTCCCGGATCTGTAATGTTTCAGTTTAATCCTTGTTGATTTGAACTAAATGCAGGTGGGCAGGTCCTGAGTCGCGGCACTTCAGAATCCAGAGAAATGTCTTGGATATGAAGATGTACATGTACACAACTGTGGGTGGGTTATCTGCTTCTCACCCTTTTTTTAGGTTAAAGATGCTCTCCGTTCAGCGCACTAGCACACATTAAGATTTATCATCAGAAACATTCAGCTCCAAATTTGAGTCGTGTGTTA